GCCGCGCCTCCAGCGCCGGCGGTGAGCGCCCGGCCTGCTTTCCGACCGGAGCTTTCCCTTGCCTTCGACGGGTCTTGGATCGGGGGCAACAGCGGCGTCCTTTTTTCGTCGAGCATCTCTCAGTCGAAGCGGAACCGCTGGTGACCGCGGTAATGCCATTAGTAGGCACCAGAGTTAACGGTCCATTAAGAAGCGGTGGTTGTGTATGTCATGCATTATATACACAGATATTATTAAATTTAAATTTGCAAAGTTAAGCACACAGGCACTAGGAAGCACCAGAATTCAGGCTGCCCGTACACCCTTGAGCCTTTTCACCCAACAGAGCCGCCGACAGGAGTAACAGGGAGTTACGCTTTCTGTTCACCACGAAGGGGAGTAACACACACATTTTGCCAGTAAGTTTCAGACGCACACTGACGAGGGTACCTGCATCACTACATACCCACGTTCCGTGTGTATCGAGAGCCTGCAGAGGCTCTGGGTACCCGTGAGCATTGCTTTCAAGCAAAATCTTAACTACAGCCTTAACTCTTGCTCCAGCTATGCGCGAGCGCAAGACTGTTGTTAGAGGCAGTAAAGTAAAACCCAGGTTTTATTAGCCACTTCACGTCAAATGACATCCTGCTTTGTAGTAGCAGAGCCACCCTATCCTGAGAGAGGGAGACAAACTTCACTTTTAAAAATACACTGTTACTCAGCCAGCCAAAGACACTGAAGTTAATAGACAGCTCTCTCCCCAGCGCTACAAATTTTAGCCAATTAGTCATTATGCCACATCTGTGAAGTGGGTTAATTTAAGTCTTCTCATTTTGCATAGGAAGGAGGCAGAAAGGTTAAGGGACTGGCCCAAGGCCACAAAGAGCGCTCAGAGCTGAGCCTAGAAAGCAGACTTCTTGTTTCCCACGCCTACGTTTCAACAACTAGACTTGGCTTGCCTACATCAGAAAATAGACTGGCACAGCTATAGCTGTGTAATTATACCATAACAGTTCATACCGGAATAACTCTCCTTGCGGACATTCTCCTCCAGATGGAAA